TGCTTTCTGACAACGGAAAAACCCAGTTTTGTCATTATCAATAAGTAATTGTGTTTCGAGAGGATTTAGTCTTGGGCTATTATCCTAGTAGACTTGTCGTTTGCCGGTGCGGCCCAAGCCCACCGCAGAACACAGTGAATCGGGGTCAAAAGTTGAAGGGTTTTCAAAATTATATTATGTAGCAAGCCTCGACACGGGAATTATTAACGTTCTTACTAGGAGCAATTACCTAAGTGGGGGCTCCAGTACTAATTACCCTGTAACATCATCTCGTGCCTCTTTTTGTACGGCAGAGTTCAGGCATTCTGTCAAGAATCTCCCCAAGTACTAAGTGTAACTTGCTACAAAGGCGAGTTAATTAGTTCCGACCGAAGAATGCATAATTCGGTTAACGAATCAACCATCTGTACCAGTAGACGTCGCGATGCGCCTTTTTTGTTCTTCACCTGCTGCTCCTGCAGGAATCTCGACAGCAAACTGGTCACCCTTTTGACATCCCTAAGCTTACAATTATTTAAACTCAAGAATAATTTGCTCCTAATGACTGCTTATTCGGACGTCCGCACCGCCAAACACTTAAATCATATTGACTCTGACCTTTCTTCAATCCAGCATTAACGTAATGTGCCCTTTACAGCACTTTAACGCACACTAATGCAGCAATATCGATATCTCACTTCTTAACCACGCATTTCTTCAAGAAGAAGCGTCCTCAATCTTAGGTGGATGGGAGTATTATTTTTTAGCCTAAATTCTAATGTTTCTGGTTTTCAAGTCAGTTTTAGGGATGCTAGACTACTGCTCCCCTCTGCCGACTTCTTAACTGTGATCCACCATCCCCCTAGTGACCCTGTTAATATGGGGGAGGGGGGTGGTTCCCTGCCCTGCGAGCTACTCGGAGTGTCCGGAGGTTTACTAAAAGTGGCAGAAGGAAGCAGGGGACAATTGGACGATTAAGTTGCCGCGGATTCTGCAGGGTTAGTGCCGTCAGGATTGAGTCGTCTGAGCAGTCTGTTCGACGTCTTCTAAACAACGTTTTGGCAAGAATAAATATTTCGCCTGCTGTTTGCGACACATAGGGGTTCGATTTATGTCCACTGTTTTTCTATTCTTATCCTAATCTCTGTTTCTCTCACTTTCCCTCTCTGTCCCACGTACAGTCCCCCTACTTTGGTGAAGCCTCCGGTCGTCATACTCGCGACGCTGATCGACAACTGGAGGCAGACAGTCTGTCCTTGTCTGTCGCCGATGCTTCTTTTCTGTACGAGTCTCGTTCACCCACAGCCCTTCATCGTGTCTCAAGTCTTTCTGCGAATCACACCTTCTGCGCTCCGCCGACCTCGGCGGTTGCCTCTCGGTCGCCCAACGTGCACACGCCCCTTCTAGTGAATTTTAATCTCTCAGGTCAACTGGAAGTACCAGCTAAACCCGGTCGACGGAAGAAACTTACCTGGGAGCCGCGTTTCGCCAAGGCAGGTTTCTTTCCCCTCCACATTGTAAAACATGCCCTCTTGACCTGTATAGATGTTCAGCTAAGATGCGGTTTTATTATTTCTGATACGAGATTTCACACAACGATCCCAAGGAACGAGGCCCAATACTGTTCCCAGAATAGCGCCAGCTGGTGTTCATTTTGCTCTTCTGAGCTCTAGTCTGCATTCAGTCATATCTGGTATTTCAGTCTTCAACTTACTTGTTGCTTTCTTGCTGCTTGTCTGGTAAGAATTGCCGTCTCTCTTTGAGACGACAAAAGCCACAATCTGTCCATTGGTTTGAGCTAAACATCACCTTTTTTGCCAGCTAACCACGCTGTTCTCGCCTTCTGACAAGCACACATACCAGCAGTTGTTAGTGTCATGAGCAATAGTGCATCCACATGCTGTTTCTCCGCTAGGGAAAACGGAGGAGGGTGTTGTGTTCTTTGCGTGTATTGTTTGTGTGTTTATATTAAAGAGTCAATTTTCGTTGCAGCTGCCTAAGCATTGGGGATGTAGT